CACTGAGCGTCTGTCCCCATGCCTGGGGCCCCCAGTGGGAAGTGGAAACAGCTGGCGTGTCAGCTGCCTCCAGTGGGAGGAGGGCTCAGCGGGAGGGCGTGTATGTGGCGGCCACCACGGCAGGGTTAGCTGCTGTCCGCTGGTGTGGGGGCGCCTTCCCTGGCCTGTCACCATCACTGTATGTGTGCTGCTGGGAGTTCTCCGTGGGGTGGCAGCAGTGCCGCTGAACAGATGCAGGCCACTGGGCTGTGGGCTCCTGAGCACCTTGTGATCTTAGTGCTTTCGAGCCCGGGACCTTGGTGCAAACATTAGACGCCTGTGTGGGGGGTCTTGTGCCCTGGGCAGTGAAGCCGCTGTCCCCATGAGGGACAGATACAGCCCCAGATGGTGAACACAGGGACCGAACCTGAAACTCAGGAACAGCCACGTCAGGATGTGGCTGCACCGCTCAGTGGGACGCAAGGAACGTTGCCACCTTCGCGTCCTTGACAGCATGGCCTCAAAGGGACTACATGACGTTCGGATGTCACAGTGGTCACAGCGGAAGGAGTTCCATCCCTGTCAGCAGCGAGAACAAGTGGACACAGCCGAGGACGTGTGAAGAGGAGGCCAGCTCGGCCCAGTGGCCGCCTGCTGGGTCAGACACACACGGACTTTCCTGCCGTCAGAGATTCGTGTGACAGGATGCTAGCCCCACACCAGAAGTACCTTCTTTTAAAACCCCACGGGATTGAAGCACACCTCGGAGTAACTTACACGGCTGGTAGTGGGCGTGGTCTGTCGAGACTCGGCAGGTTGCAGCTGGCACTTGAGCGGGGCTGGGCAGGTAGCTGGCCCGTGTCCCAGGGTGGAGCTGTGCCCAGGGCTCTGGCAGTGCTGGCCGCCGCGGCGGGCAGGTGTGTGGATTGCAGAGCTGGGCTCTCGGTGAGCAGTGGGGGTCCACAGCTGCTGCCTCTGCATGGAGATGCTCACCGAGTGACAGACTATGAGTGGAGACCGTGGCCGGCGTGACTGCCCTTTGGTTCAGGTGGACTGTTGACAGGCATGGGAAGCTCTTTCCTCGGACGTGGCGATAAGTCGGGTCGTGAGGGAAGCCCGCCGCCACTGCCAACTGGCTTTCTCATGGCGCGGAGCGGTGCGGACTGGCCCTGACCCGCGGAGCCTCAGTCCTTGCCCTTTGCACCCTCACAGCTCCTGGAACAGAACGGAGGTTATGGGAACTCTGCCCCGCCCCCACCCGGGGGCCCCACGAACAGCAGCTGCCGTGCAGGTGAGTGTCCGCCTGTGCCCAGGGGTTGCCATAACCCTGCCATGCGCTGGGCACCTGGACGCTGCTGTCCCGGGGCTTTTGGTTTTGGCCCGGCGGCGAGAGAGGCTGTCCCAGGACCCCTCAGGTTCATAGCTGCTCAGCACTCCCAGAGCTCAGCTGTGGTGACACTCAGGGCCGCGGCTCAGGACCAGGAATGAGGAAAGGGGTGCGAGCGCCAGCGCTCCTGCCCCCGTGCCGTCAGGATGGCGCTCAGCCTCTGAGGCTCCTGTGACACGGGGCCAAGCCCTGGTGCCCGGCTGTAAGGCTGTGGTGGCCACACACTGTCATCCACCTGCGTGGCCAGCTCAGTCTCCAGCCCCTCAGAGGCCCAGCTGATGTGCGTGACCTCGGTTTGGCACAGGCTAATGCAGGGCGGGGCCGGTGCACTGTGAGGGCCAGGGCACTGGAAGGGGGTGTGGGGCGATAGCGCGCTAGGCCAGCAAGCGGGTCTGCAGGGGCCCCTCTGGCGGGAAGGACACAGCTCTGGCAGTAGAGGTGGCCCAGCGGGCCTCATGGTCAGGCCTTGTTTGCTGACTGACTCACACCCCTCGTCCCATGTGTGTCAGGGTGGGTCTGGCTGCCTGGCGCTGGCACAACATGCTGTGTCCTACAGCAGCCCTCAGCTTGGGCTTTGCGTCCGTGCCCAGGAACGTTGCGGAATGCCATGCCAGCATGTGCTTCTCTGCCACGTCCCCGTCCTTTGGCCACCTCTTACTTTGGGGTGTGGGGTCCAGCTCCCAGGGCTCCCTCCACCTCTGTTTCCTGGCAGCTAGCTGCCTCTGATCCTGGCGCCTCCCTGGGTGCCAAGCATATGGAGCCGCCTGCACTGCCCTGGGGGTGGGTTCTCAGGGTGCCGAGGCAAGACCATGCCACACGCATGTGTGCTGGGGCCAGGCTGCTCAACTGCTGTGATGGGCCAGCATAAGCACATAGGACGTGACTGCATTTCAGTGGCTGCCTGGCAGCCCGAGAGTGGCCAGCCCCTGGTCCCAGCTGTGACCCAGCCATCTGGTGTTGCTGTGTAGGTCACAGAGGCTGTGGTAGAGACTGCAGAGCACCCCTGGGCACAGACGCAGTGCGTGCATCACGCCTGCCTCTTGTCACCATGACTTCGCCACCAGGGCCACTCCCCGGGGTCCTGGCTTTGGGGGCCGCCTTGCTCTCTCATCTCTGTTCACACCCCTCTGGTACCCCTGGGGCTGCAACCAGGAGGCTGGGCTCCTTCCCAGGACCCCACTCCTGTACGTGGGCAGCCAGCTGGACGCATACCCACACCTGAGGTCCTGCCATGCAGCCTTTCCGTGCCTGGCTGGGCCCACCTGCGTGGCCCCACTCCTGTGCCCTATGTCCCTGTGTCCCCTCACCTTAGGGATGGAGGCTGTCTCATCTTTGCCAGGCCCCCAGCACACATGTGTGCAGTGGCGGGGTCCCCTGGCATGCAGGAATGCTGGCAGTGCATTGGTTGAACATCCTGGAGATGGGGAGGATGGGCCGCCAGCACCCAGAGGCTCGGCTCGCGTCATCAGGCCCCGGCTTGTGTCATAGGGGGCCCAGCATGCATCATCGGGGCGCAGCTCGCGTCATCTGCCCTTGAGAGTCACCTGGGTGTGCGTTTTGGAGGTGCTGTTGTCTTTCCGGCACTTGCAGGTTGCGCACAGACAGTAGGGGTTGCCAGGAGGGGTAGCTCATCACAGGCTCTGGATATCGGGCTTGGGCCCTGGCTGTGACCTGTGGCCCGTCTCTGCTTGCAGGCCTGGTGGTTGCCGAGTATGACCAGCCTTATGGCGGGCTGCTGGACATCCTGCGCGGGGGCACTGGGCGCCTGCTTACAAACATCAAGGACACCTCCTCAAAGGTCATCCAGTCTGTCGCCAGGTGAGTTGAGTGCATGCGGCACATGTCCCAGGCAATAGCACGCGGCTTCTCTGGCACGGAGGTTTCCCAACCTCAGGCACTGTCCCACCTCCTACCTGACAGGACCCGGTCGGTGGGGGTCCTGGGGTGGGGTAGCCCCTAGCCCTGTTTCCACCCTTGCCATGGACAGACATGGTGCAAAGCAGAGCAGCGCTGGCATTGCTGTGGGATAGCGTCACCTTGGCCCTGAGGGTCCTGTCCATGGAGACCAGGACCCCCAGCCTCAGCGTCCCTGTCGCTATTGCGACACCCCTCACATTTGCACTGCTTTCTTTCTGTGGTGTGGAGCAAGTGGAGCAGTCGTGGGGCACAGGGCACCTCATTAACAAATGTGAGGTCACTCAGATGCAGACTGGGTAGCCTTGAGCTCTGGGTGCATGGAGTCACGTTGGAGCGACTTTTGGGGGAGTACGTGTCTTCACACGCAGGCCTGCCCACCACCCCACGTCCTCGCAAGGGTGCCCTGTGGGCCGGCCCCAGTTTTCAGCACCACCGGCCGTTGTGGAGGTGACTCCATCGGCGTGAGGCCATCACTCCCTGTTCGGCTGTTTCAGGAACCGTGCACTGGAGCTGAGCCCGATTATCTTTTATGCGTCACAAACCCTCAGTCCAGGGGTCAGAACAGCTGTGCATTCGGTTGTGCTCACCACACTCCTCTGACAGTTATGGAAACCTCTTGGCCTCATTTTCCTCGTGTGCCATGATCATTTTGTGCCCCAGCTGTGTTGGCAACATGATGTTGACTGAAAACTAACACCGACTAGGTGTTTTGTCACCAGAAAGGATTTATTTGGGAAGAGAGGGTTGCAAGGCAGCGCGTGCAGACGTGGTGAACCATGACTGCCCTCCGACCTGCATGCCAGTACGGAGGGGAGGAAGTTAAAGGGAAGGTGCTAGAGCCTCAGGGCCTCGTTATAAACTTTGCTGCCTCTTCTCGCGGGAGTGCGCTTGCCCTTGCTCTGGGGATCCTCTGCTCTGGCTCAGAGGACCCCCAGAGCCAGCATCTCTTCCCATGAGCCCTAGCTCCGCCCACAGGCCCTCCCACTGACTGTGCAGAGTTCCATCCCACTCTACCAGTAGGCAAAGGCATGCGTGAGCCTGTGCACGTGTATGAGCTCCTTTTCTGTTTTGGTGTGGGCCTGGCCCAGTCCCTGCAGCCTCAGCACGTTCTGTTGTGTGGTGACACACGCTTTCTCCTTTTTCCTTTCTTCCCAAGAATGTTGGCTGTTGTTCCTCAACTGCTCCTTGGGGTGAATTCTAGAATAAATGTGTTCAATTGCCTGAGTGGTTACTTAGGATGCTGCATTTTATCCATTTTATGACCAGATTAGGGACAGTTCACCTCCATGGTACTGAGTCCAGGCTCCAGCAGGGACGTGTACCCAGGCCCGTGGGCTCCCGTCCTGCCCTCGTGATCCTGCCGGCTGCCCTGGGAGGGAGGGAGAGGGTGGCAGGCTTGTGGAGCAGTGAGCCTGCCCAGGCTGTCCCCACGCAGGTCTGCCCCACTGAGCCCAGTGGGAACCCCCTAATTAGACCCAAGTAAGTGGAGACATACTCCGTATTTGTGTTTGAGGGAATTAATGTTTTTAAATATCACTCTGCACTTAATCTGTAAATTCATTGCAATACAAATAAAAATTCCGACAGTGTTTCTACAGATTTTGATATTAAAATTCATATTTACCCCAAAAGTGATTTAAAACATAAGAACAATAGGATGAACTGTTATACATGTATCAGTTTTTTTCAAACATCAGTCTTGGTACAAGTTGTGTGGTTAAACTAATGAATGACACACTTGTGTGGGACAGGCATGAAACAAAATAATGGGTTAAGTAACGAACGATGCTGAGAGCATGAGTATCTACACGGAAAAAGGAAGAATTGGATCCCCATCTACAGTAATAACAGCCACATACATTAATTCTGATTAGTTACAAGATCTAATTGTGAAAAGCAGTTTTTTGGAGAAAAATTAATATAGAGGGATATTTTTATAACACCAGAGTGAGGAAGATTTTTTAAATAAGGCAAAACATATATAAGACATGGAGGAATGATTAATAAATTTAACTTAAAATAAAAATTACCTATTTCTTAACCCCGCATTTTTTTTTTTTTTACTTTTTTCAGGAGGTGAAGGAATTCTTTTTTTTTAAGATTTTTTTTTTAATTGGGTAATTGGGGGGATGGGAACAGTGCTGGGGAATTGGGGGAAGGGGAACAGACAAGTTGCTGTCGTTTTGTTCTTCAATCTAGTTGTGGAGGATGCTTCACTAGCCCAAGTTGGCACCATCATTGCGCTCTTCCCTGGCGAGGCAGATCAGTCGCCGGCTTCTGGACGGCCGCTCACTGCGGCTGCTGGCCGCTCACGCTGGCTGCTGGCTACATACGGTAGCCCATGGCAACCCACTGCCACAGGGACTGCAGCCTACGCCGTTGCCAGCGACTCACGGCATCCCAGCTCCAGGTTGAACTGTTGTTCAGCATCTTAGCTGTAGAGGGCTGTGTCACTGGCCCTCATATGTGGGATCCGAACCGGGGCCCTCTGGCATCCCAAGCGAGTTCTTAACCATCGCGCCACACGGCCGGCCCAACCCCGCATTTTTTTTAAATAACAAAAAGATACAGCACTGATCGGGAGTAAATATGTTCAAACTACATATATGACTCACAAAGGAATACTCTCAGTTAGATATACTGAGTTATGAAAATTAATAGAAAAGTGAAAATGCATGAAGAGACAGCAGGACACACTGAATAGGCTGTGAAAAGAGGCATGGCTTCAGTGTAGACGGCACACAGTCAGGTGTTTCAGTGGGTGCGTTTGGACCGTTCATAGTGGGCTTGTTGGTGTAGCTGGGTTAGCATCTGTCACATTTGTTACCGTTTTCTACTCACTGCCCTGTTCTTTGTTCCTATTTGTTCCTCCACTCTTTTTCTCCCTTGTGTAGTTTTAATTGATTATTTTATATTATTTGATTTTCTCCATTCTTAACATATCAGTTCTGCGAGGTGTGATTAAGAAATACAGTCAATGTTTAAATAAAAAAAAATTTATTGCAGTAAGACACATTGACACTCATCCCCCTCAAAAATACTCCCCCTTGCTTTGAACACACCCCATTGTTCTTGCCACTTTCTGAAGCAGTTCTGGAAGTCCTCTTTCAAGAGTGTCTCTAATTGCGCTGTCATGGCTGCCTTGATGTCCTGAATCAATTCAAAACATTTACCTTTCATGGTCATTTTGACTTGGGGGAAGAGCCAGAAGTTGCTTGGTGCCAGATCTGGTGAATAAGGTAGATGAGGATACACCATAATGTTTTTATTGGACAGAAATTGCCATATACCAGAAGTGATGTGTGACACACAGCCTTTCCGTTATGATCACAATGCACGGTAAATGCTGCTGCCAAGTGCCATCCAACGGAAAGGCAGGGATTTTCAATATGGGAAGACGAGTCGAAACTTAGTAACAGTGTGTGACAAGTTTCAACTTGTTTGATGTGGTCAGTCAGGTGTGAGCTACG